GCCTGGCCACCAACCGCAGTGACGAAGGTGAGCTGTCAATTTTCATCCGCAGCTGCGCCGTGGAGTTCGACCTGCAGCGCTGGGACTGTCTGCAATCGGTACTGCAGTCCATTCACCCGGATATCGGCAAGCGTGAGTATCGCCGCGGCTTTATCGCGTTCGCTGGGGGGCCAGAGCGGTCACGCGAGGAAGCGGGGCCAGTATATTTACGTGCAGCGGCAGCCCCGTGGGCTGCGCTGGCGAGGGCGTCATGTGAGATATTTTTAGGGAAATTTTGCATTTTACTGTAGAGGGAGATTTTATACCGTAGTCAGAGATTTTATTTGAATTTTAGAGAAGCGCACGCGGACGGCCCGGCGGAATCCTGGCCGGCGCGTGGACGCTTCTGGAAGGAATTACGTAGAAATAAAAGAGAGGGGGTGATGGGCGCTGCGTGGAAAAGGGGGGCCACCACGGGAGGTGACGCTCCCCAAACCGCGTCCCCCACTTCACCTACAACAAGTGGCAAGGCGTCAAGTCGCACGCTCCTTTCCCTCAATTCCAAACGTCCGGTTTGATACACGAAAAGGGCAAGCCCGACTTGAATCTCTCCATGTTTCTAACCATTACAGTATCTCGGCATCAACCATACAGCGGTGCCGATCGACCCTGACAGAGTAGGGGATAAATACTTTACTGCAATTTTATTTCCTGGATGCACCCGTAGAACGAACAGAATGATTCATTAATATCCCCACCGTCATCCTGGCCAATACATCGTGAGGAGATGGACATGCGCCTATAGTTGCTGTTCGCAAACCCACTTCATGTACCATCCATAGATGTTCATTAATATCCCCACCGTCATCCTGGCCAATACATCGTGAGGAGATGGACATGCACCTGTAGTTGCTGTTCGCAAACCCACTTCATGTACCATCCATAGATGTTCAACATGTATAAAATGGTCTACATTATATCCATATGTTTGTACAGTATTGACTTTGGTTCTTTTAAAGGAGCTCCAATTGCAATACCGCTATGCAAAGATTACTATGCTGAACGCTCTGTATAAAACAAACGGGTACACCGACCACTGTTCCCTGCTATTGCAGCATCCACAGCAACCTCCCAAATGGAGCCAAGGTTCTCTTTCTTCAAAATGCGCCCTACCGCCGCCTTTCTTGTTGTTCTGCTTGTTGTCCTGCCCCATATAGCAGTCGTCGCCGCCCAAGAAAGCGCAAACACAACCGCCACGGCTCCCACCCTCATCCAGCAACTTCTCGTTTCCTTTGACCCACCCAACGAGGTCCTCTTTCTCCTTTTCCCTCGTTCCATTCTTGTCGCACAGACAGCCCTAGCCGTCCGCTACTTCCTGCTCATCAGTGCCGTCGGGCATGACCTCACAGCTGCGTGTCACCCCGTCATTCTTTCCTTCTTCGGCACCAAAGACGAAATTCCGGCAGCGTTTTGCACGCCGGAGGAGAATGCCATCACAAACGCATACTTTGGGTATCGCGTCTTGGAGTCCCAGTTTCCGGAAGAGGCCGCGCCCTACGGCCGCTTCCTCGCCAGGCTTGGCTTAGACCCTTACAATCGCTCCACAGACACGAGCACCAAAAATGGATGGGCAAACGTTTTCGCAGCTCGTATGTTGACCTACTTTGACAATGACGGATGGAACGCTCAAGGTGACAAGACGAGAGACGACTTCCGCCGCAAGTACTCAGATTCGTCCTTCTACATGCCGAGAAATCCGGCCTTCTTGCCGCCCTCCAAACTTCGCCGACCGCTTCGCTGGCAGCCGCTGACGGTGCAGCTCGACCAGAAGGGATACTTTGCATCGCAAATCCACGTTGTGCCGCACATCGGATCGCAAGCCAAGCCGCTCGTGCTCTCGCCACGCGAGCTGCGCGCCAAACGCGCACCCTCACCGTACAGAACTCCCAACAGGAAACGCTCTCTCGGCGCGGAAGATGAGAAGACGGTGAGGAGAGCGATCAAGAAGCTGCTGAGGCGGTCTGTCAAGCTGACGACTAAAAAACTGGCGCTCGTTCACTGGTGGGAGAACAAGTTCCTCTCTCTAGGCGTCATCGTGCCGTATTACATCGGGGTACTGCAGCTCGACAGTCTGCAAGCGAACCGTCTGTTCCTTGGGGAGATGCTCGCGCAGCATGACGCGATGGTGTTGGCGTGGAAGGAGAAGACGGCTCATGACCTGGTTCGTCCGACGACGATGATGCGGCGGCTTCTGGCGGGACGCAAGATCCGGGCGTACCGGGGGTTCAAAAAGGGCGTGGGGATGGTCAAGGCCGAGGAGTGGGAGCCGGCGGTGCCCGTGCAGCCGCACTCAGAGTACCCGTCGGCGTCGGCCGTGCTGTGCAAGGTGTCTGCAGATCAGCTGGAGCTTGCGCTGCGGGACATGCTGGGCAACGCTTCGACGGGGATCCCCCCACTTGTGCAAACGATCGCTCCCATGGGGCAGCCGCTGTCCGCACCGGGGACGCCCGTCGATGTACCCGTTTCTGTGAGGTTTGAAACGCTGCAGGAGGCGGCGAGGAGCTGCGGAACATCACGGCTGGACGGTGGCGTGCATTTCGAGGCGGCGGTGGCGGCGGGGCGGCGGCTGGCTGACGGCGTTGGGGAGAAGGCCTATCAACACGTGAAGGACTTGTATCAAGGAAGGGTGCCGGAAGGGTGCGAGAGGTGCATCCACGCCGAGACGAAGTAGTTTCTACGCATGTGGGACACGTGTGCGAAGGAGAATGGCTTTTAGAGCAATGCCTTCGCCATAAATATAAAGATGAGATAATGCTGCGTTTAGGGGGGCGATCAGGTGCATTTTGGTGGCAACAGACGGGTGAAATCGGAACAGTTGCAGCGCACAAGGGGTGACGGTGGGAACTTTGCAAGAGGTACCCATCCGATAGCGGTTTATTTGTAAGGATCACTATGGTGACCATATCAAGTCGAGCACGGTGAACTTGGCATGAATGTATTGGTTGAAAAAATTATTGGAAATGCTTTTACTCCCGTTCAACCAATCCAAATGTCAGGGTGCTTGCGTGCTAGCACACCGTGCTCGTCGTTTGGAACGGCCCTGAGGTGACAGGAAATGCACCTAATCTCCCTAAATAGATATGTACTTGTTATGGTTACAGTACTGTGCAACCTCCGAATAAGAGTGCCGTTCGTATATTGTAGGACAACATTATCCATGACGGACCACAAGGACAGACTGTCCATATCACAGTCTGTCCACAACAGTATTTAATAGGAGCGACGGCGACGACGAGTAAAGCCACGCCATGAGGATTACGATTCATCAATCCTACACAGGGCTTTTCTTAACGAGACGTATGACAAGGCGGTCATCATTGGCCGCCGTACATAATCGGCCTGCAAGACCCGCCAGCTGTAACAGCAGCGCTGTTGGAGAGGAAGGTACAGGTACAGTACCCAACGGTACAGTATGTACAGTAAATGAGACAGGGCGTATTTTTGCCCGTACAGCTCTGCCAGGTAGCCTCGCCACACACGTGTCCCTAGTTGTGATCAAATCAGGCACTGTTACTCGAGGGCGATTTTCTGCAGGCGTACAAACCTTGTATCCTAACACAAACCTGTTGCTCTGTGCATCAGTCTTGCCGTTACTCACTCCCCAATTACGCAACTCTGATTTAAGGAGACAAACCTCTCTTTACAAACTAACAGTACTGCTCATCCATAGAGAGATTATAGTGAATCTGAGAGGCTACTTAGACTTCGAAACTAGCTTCGAGAACAATCCTTCCGTCCACACTGGAGCGACCTCTCCTCTGGAAGACCCTCACACCGTTGACAATACCATTAACAGTGAATCTGGTCCTCCCACCGCAGTTGTTGTAGTGAAGGAGCTTGATCTCGTAAGTTCCGGGCTTGGCAGTATCGAAGACAACCGCTTCCTTTCCTTGGGGAGGACCGCCTTGGCACCGGCCGATGTTGTTGTCTCTGATTCGACGGCCGCTACCATCGGGACCCTGAACAGAGAGATCAAAGTCATCAGCAGAATCCCACGCCACTTCAACCAACACCGGTTTGTTGATCGTTTTGAATGAAACGCAATCCCTCGGATCGCTGGTTGAGATGGTGCGGTACACAGATCCATCTGTGTTTGCGATGTTATAGCGCGTAATGGGAAGCGTGACACATAGCCCGTCCAAGAAATCCTCTTGATTTCCGCTGCTAGCATGGCGACCAATACCTTGTAATCCACGTGCGTACAAGATGTTGTGCAACTGAAAGTAGTCTGCCGGGAAATTCGGTGAAAGATTCGGTGGCTCATACTCGTCGATCTCATCAGTCCTTCCGTCCTTGGAAACTGTGGCAGTTCCAGTTCTCTCAACAACTCCCAGAGTCCTGCCATTCGGGAAGTTGCGGCAGATGTAGCCAGTACGACTAGTATCCGGCCCACGAAGAAGAATTTGAGCTCCTTTCGGACGCATTTCTGGAGGGCTACTGCCATTCAGCTCGCAGATCCTGAAGCGGCATGTGCGGCCACACTGGGCGTTGACAGTCCATGCCGCTGCCGCTAACAGCGCTGCGACTAAGGAAAGCTTGAACATTTTGAAAGTCGGTTTGGATGTGGTTTTGAGGTTCTTTGTTGTTCTTGGGGGGAACTTTTTTTGGTTGTCGGTGAGTGATGAAACGCCTTGGACACCGACCGACGTGCATCTTTATATAGTGATTTTCTGTCTTTCCTCCTTAACTTGTCTCTTCATCAACCATATCTGCTACCACACCGCATGGGTGGACGGATCGGGGACGCAACCTTGCTCTGTAAAGACTAGAAGGGGAGTAGGCTATATCTAAGTTGCAATGCGTTGCATGAATAGAATTCAATGTTTTCTATTTCATTGTCATCTTGGCACACAACTGACAAGTATCGGATACACATGGATAGGATTACCAAAGTCACATGTCAATAAGAATCTCCTGGCGGCGCAGATCGTTTTCACTCGAAAATCTAAAGGACGCAGTTGTGTCACAGTGACACAAGGAAAATATAATACCAGGCACATGCGATGTCAAAAGTACAAAGAGGATAAAAACAGAAGAAGCGCAGATTTATTCCGTTCCGCAAGTTTCACATCAAATAACATATTTCGCAGCTTCTTGAAGGGCATGAAATGTTCTTTTCGACCAACAGTCGGTCGCCAGAACACCAGGGCTGCGATTTGCGGAGCGATTGGGCTAGCGTAGATAATACTCACAAATAAATAACTAGGCAGGACGGATGAATGCAATCTCCTTGTTCCTACTGGTTTGAAATCCTCACGACAAGCAAAGAGTTAGATAATTCATCGAGTGAAACAGAAAGTATTGTGAACAGCTCACAGAATTGTTGCGATGCGCTCGGCAATTAGGAAGTGGAAAACTACCAAATGCTGTAGAATGAAGTGTGCTGCAAGTGACACATTCCCTAAATAAGCGCAAAAGCTGTCGCTAGCACTGACAGCATAATAAGAAGTGCTTCTTCTGATGATGCGTAATACTTCTCTGTTGTCCATGTGACAATGAGACTCACATAAGACGTTTTATTCCTAGTGTGTGATTGGAGATATCTGTCGATGTATACGACCTCTTAGGACTGCTTCTTCGAGTTGTGCAACTATTGCATGTGTTGTCCAGTAGCAACACAAAAAAAGTGGCAAGTTGCATGAAGTTGCCTTCGCGTAAACGAAACTCCACATAGAAGAACATAGGCATGCCTTGCTTTTATTGTACCTGTAATCCAGATTTCCAAGAACAGTATTCAATAAAACTTACATGAAGCCTGTTTGAATAAGAGGAAGGATAAAGTTCGTGGGGAGATAGCATCCCAGTGTATGTACTCCGTCAGCATTGCTGCTCCTGTAGAATGACAGGACAGCACGCCGTAGAATTCCTGGCTGCAGTCGGAATAATGTCATTAAGAGAGACTGGATTCTCACAGAGGACAGACGTCTATTGACATCCAGAAATTTTTAGCTCTGATTAACCTGTGATGAATTCAATCCGTACTCATTTATCAATTCCAAGGGTATGTATGTATTCCATGCATCGTTTATTGCAAAAACGTTGTGCATAGAAACAGTGTCTAGGACGAGAAATGTATGGGCTCGTGATCTACTTGCAAACGGAATATACTGCCCAAATAGTTTCCGCCATTACTAGTATTGACCGAATGTATGTCAGTAGTTCCGGACGGACTTGGTATGGATGTTCATATCATAATGCTTCTGTTGCTTTTGGCAAGATGTAGTTTGCCTAGAGGGCAAGGATCGATTTCCGACATCCAAGGAAAATGACAATGCGCCAGATGCGCCTTCCTAGGTTCTACACGAGTCGATTACGGTAAATCATTGCAATGTGAATATGATTGGCCATGGGCCCCATGTGTGTTTCAGGTGTACGAATATAGTACTCCCGGAAAGACTATGACTCATGTCAAATGACATACCTGAGACCCGAACAATGGATAGGAATATTCAGTCTCTGTCAGCTGTCCCCTCAGGGGGTGCAATTATATACGCGAATAGATATACATGATATCGGAACAAACGAGTTGTCATGAATGCATGCAGTTATCAAGTTTCTATTTACACGGAGCTCTGAGCCCGGGAGATCAAATCTTCGCGATACGCTCACAGGACGTTTAGAGCTGAACGATTCAGAGGTATTCGAGCACCCAAACTGGTGTCTCGCCCGCAAAGGGGAAAGAAGGCAGTACTGGGCCTAAAGAGTGACGATTCAAAAAGCAATTCGTCAAATACAAAACCAAATACTGTACGTCAATTTTTGTTTCACGACTCGGCATTGGCTTGACCGCACCTGGGGCAACACAGCAGAGAAGAGGGTAGAAGCGGAGGGGAAGTCATACCATTGTAGAGAAGGCAGTAGTGTACCGCACACAGCCGCGATTTCGGGTTGTTTTTTCATTTTTGCTTTTTGCTTGTTTATTCATGCAGAAACTGAGAAACTTGATGATTCTTCATGAAGAAACGACTTAAGACAATGGGAGACACTGCATGAAGATGGGCTACAGGGACCCTAGGAAGGCATGGGGGATCTCGATTTCGATGGTTGATCGCGATTATCGGTGGGTCGCCTGAAGAAGGCCGAAGTGGTGTTTTTTTCATTTTGCAGCATTATCTGGCAGTTTTTGCGCGCAATTGCGCGCAAAAACATGATTTAATGAAATCGCGGGGCACACAGTACCATCAAACACCGCACATCACATGTAACCGTCCAAATTGCAAAGAAAAATCAAAGTATCCTTCTAAACCAGTGGTTGTCAGGCTGGTTCCAAGCAATCATACTGAAGGTAAGACGCGAAGGGGGTTTAGTCAGCCACGTGAGATGCGGTTGAATGTTGTGAACAAGTGGAAGGTTCCAAGTGTCTATCCGACCGATAGTCCTCATATGAGGACAAAAGTTATATTATTTTTTCTACACAATGCAAATCGCGATTTCATTTGTGATTTTTGCAACCAGAAGGTCATTACTTCGATAATTACAATTATTATTACTACAGGTAAAGCAGTTGGTTGTCGATTCCAGCGAAAACCAACTCGTTGACGTACATATAGGTGTTCAAAAAAACAGGTTGGCATACAGTACGCATTTTTCTTTTACTGTAGCGAGGTTTATGGCAGTAGAATAGAAAGATTCCATAGATTGCTTTCTATTTGGTTCTACCTTGAGAAAAAAAAGTTGAAAGCGAGTCAACCTACAAAAGAAAAAAAATAGAAACCGCGGGCATCAAAGTTAAAAAGAAATAAAATTTGCAGATTTGGTTATGATAACGCTTGGAAATTACACTATGCCGTCGGCTGCGGATACGCATGGTGCGGAGATGATGTGGAGATGATGTGGAGATGGTGCGGAGATGATGTGGAGATGATGGGGAGATGATGTGGAGATGGTGCGAAGATGATGTGGAGATAGTGCGGAGATAGTGCGGAGATCGGGATCACCCAAACGTTCACTTTCACGCTTCCGCTTTCACGCTGCCCCCGTATGCTGTACGCCGACGGTCCTCGTATTATTGAGGGGATGCACAGCAAATCGAAGACGAAGGCGGGAACTCTTTACATTCGGCTGACATTTTTTGCACGCTACCCTGGAACTGTACATACCGTACAAGTAGATGCTCGTCTCGGGTTGCGTTCATGACTGCTTCCATTGATGCAAAGCACCTCAGAGAGTGCAAAAAGCTCCAATACATGTGCACATGTACCCTTGAAGGGTACAGTACTTCCTCCACAATGAGGGCCATTCCATTCATCGTGATTGGCAATCACGCAATCACGTCAATAAATGGTGCCTGCTCCCTTGTGGTTGGTTGTTTATATTACGTTTCCTAAAAAATGGCTATGCCCATTAAAGAAATAAACAATCGACTTCAAATTAATCTTGTGCTCCAACTTTCTGTAATGCTCCTTGCAATTCTAAAAGATTTAAACCCCATTCAAATAAGCAAGAAGTGCGTTAACACATGCACATGCAAAGCCGTGGAAATGTGCTTACAGCTACATGTAGCACACGTTGGAGAAAGGAACGATGCAGAACGACGTTAAATTAATGTCGTGATCGCGTGATCGCGTGATTGCATGATTGCCAATCACGATGAATGGAATGGCCTTGAAACGAAGAAGATATTCTCGCCACGCCTGCTGACTTCCGTCTTGCGCCAGGTGCTTGGAGTCCAAGCCTTGGAGTAAACTTTACTGTACCACTGAGATCCTCCTATTTAGCTGATATTTTAACAAACTTTACAATTTATTCTCCTACTTGATAAGTCTGTCCGCTTGTCTCATTTGCCGCAAGTCGTAGAGTGCACGAGTCGAAATACACCTGTTAATACTGTAGTCGTCATACAGCAGTCCGGCACCTAGGGGGATGACGGCGCTGCGCCTCCAGGAACTTCTTCCATCTTTGCCCGCATTCCAAAGACATCCGCAAGGGGGCAGTGCCCACACTGCTCGCTTTTTATACACGTTTGTATACGTGCAAATATACGGCAGCAAGTAGTTAGCCGCCGTACTCAATCTAACACATCGGTCAGCAGGCCGACCGTCCACGCCCGCCGCCGGCGGCGCGGCCCATGGCGTAAGGGCACTGCATCGCGCCGCAGGAAATTATTTCCTCCCGCCATGTCTATTTCACCCTCGCACGCAGAACCCCAATGCATTATTGGGCGGGAGGCCTTCAATCTACTGCATTCAGAATGCCTTTGGCACGATGCCTCACAACTTGCAACCTGTTTCAGACGCGCAAATGCCAACGGCTAACCTGCTGCGCTAATCCGGATCGCGGGCGCGACGCATAAGCCTAGATAGTCGCCATGACTACGGACTCATCGTGAGCGAACTTCACACTTCCAAATTCATTGGCCAACCGTACCGTTTCGTGCGTGAACCCATGTCCTTGTCTCGACTTAGAATTTTCTTGACAACAGTCGGCTCCTTCGGACTATCCACTATTTCAACTACCTCCTCGTCGAGGCCTTTCCTTCTTGCTACAGACGGGGAGCGGGACTGAGTCCCGGACGCAGTACGTTGAACCTGCGCCTCTCTTGACT